TCTCCCCTCCCCCCACCAACCTAGCTGTCTGCCCAATCTCTCTCTTTCTCTCATCTCCTTCACACTTTACAGAAGCCCAGATGCACCTGAGGTTTTACCAAACCAGAGTTTTCCATGGGCAGCTGTTTGTTTCCCCTGAGCCTGATGGAACCCACAGCTATCTTTCCAGGTGTGGTGCCAACTTTAAAATTAAACAAAACAAAAAACAAGAAGCTTATGGTTTTGTCTTGTGAGATAAGTCTTTTATAATGCTTCGTCTTGAGACTTTTCACCAAAATATTTTTATATTAATTCAATAGTTCATTTGCTGCTCAAGTCACACCCAGATCAAATGAGCAGCTGCAGCAGCACAGGGACCCTCAGACCAGAGAAGGTGGCCAAGGGCATCTCTGCTGCAGGACCAGGACCATGGCCAGCGGTAGCATTTTTTCCCCCCGGGGACATTTGCACGTGTGGGATCCAATCACCTCAAGACCACTTCTGCTAGTTTCCCTTCTCTTTGAAGGTTATGCATTGTTCACACTTGAGCTGGAATTTTCTCCTGCCTCTTCCCTAAATATTCCCACATTCCCTCCTGCCATTTCAGGATTCTGGGTAATGTATAGAAAACACTTCCTAACTGTCTAGATCTTTAGACCCGGGAGCTGCTGTGGTTGGGGTGAAATAATGAAGAAGTTGGACTGAGGGAGAAAGAAATCTGATCATATTGTGAGGGTATATTTACATTCATTACAGAATCAGAGATTTCAGAGGAAGCCACCTCCAAGGCCTTCAAGTCCAGTCTGGAGCTCCCCAAGAATCCCTTCCACATAATCCTTGACTCTGAGGATCCCTGGCTGCCTTCTCAATAGGGTGCCTTGGATCAGATGTTTCCCATGGAAGGGCACTGCCCCCTCCCCTCCAAGGAAGCCCATCGTGTTATGGACAGCTCCCATTTTGACCAAGTTCATCCCAACATCAAGCCCCTTGTTTCAGTTTGTCCCCCTCTTGCCATCCCTTCAAATGCTTGAAGGCAGCTAGCTTCCTTCCTGCCGTCACCCCCACAAGTCTTCTACAGGCCAAGCATCCTCAGCGTCTTCAGCAATTTCCCCCTGCTCTAAACCAACAAAGGCTGTAACTCAGCCAGGTCACCAGCGGTTTGCTCCAGGGTGGGGAATTTTAAGGCAGAGACCAAATTTAACACACGTTCTCCTGAGAAGAGCCAAAGAAAACAAGAGAAGTGGGAAGTCTGATGCTGGCCAAGGAGTGAAGTAAAGGAGGTTTGGGCTGAGGGAGAACATGGAGCAAACACCAACCCGCCCCCCCCAACACAGGCTGATTGTTCTCTCCTCCTTGGGTCTGTCCCAAAGCCCCTGACCTTGTTGCTTCTGCTTTCCGGACTCCTTCCTCTGTAAGTAGCAAAACTCTTTCCTGCCGCTACCTCCAGCAAGGGTGAATATTCCTAGGGCTCCCTTTCCTCACCTGTACTGGGAAGGAGAGAGCTGGAAGGAGAGCCTGGGACCCCAGATCCTGTGGCTGGGCAGGGCGACTCCCAAGGTCGCAACCACCTCCGAAATTTCACTTCTGGGTCACTATGATTATTTTCATCTTAATTCTATTACATTTGTCCTGATCACATCTTGTACCATTTTCACATCACGAATTACTGAGCCAACTGAGAAATACATTTTATGTTTCTTTTCTAAGGTTAACATTGGTCCTCAAGCTTCTGTTGAGATGGAAGGCACCTGCGGCCATCTGCATCCCAGGACCCTCCTTGGGACTCCTTCCAGCCCATCAAAGCTGTTGCTGTTCTGGGGTGTCCAGCACTCATCAAATGCCAAAGGGTGGGGGAGGAGACCCCCATGGGTCAAGCACCTCAGTCTCATTAACATCCCAACTCTTACTCATGGAGTCCAGGTTGAATCAGTTTGCCTAGCTGCTAGCTCATCATGAGTTTGTGAGCCACTAGAATTCCCAGATCCTTTTCACAAATAAAGGCCATCTAGATGTGTTTCCTGTCTTCTGGTTGTGCAGCTGGTCATTGAAGCAACACCTGAGACTTTACATCTTAAGTATATTTGAAGTAAAGCCCTTTAGTTGTGTGTCTGAATCACACTCTTCTACATGGTGTGAAACCATGTTTGCAGTGTGTAGAACCCAGAAGTTTCAAGTCAGGTAGTCACGGAGACTAAGGAGCATCCATTGGGAAGGGCTCAGCAGGGTCTAGCTTCCCAGATCTGGGTGTGAACTAGGAGGTGGGAAGCCCTCCCTCTGCACTAGCCTAACTCCTGCCTGGATACCACTGACCCTCAGATCCCCGCCCCCAACCTCCCTAACCACTCCCCCACACCTCTCCTCCTCCTAATGCTATCACTTCTCCATTCCCATGCCCCTTGGAGGGGGCCCAGCACACCCATTCTACTCCATCCCTCAGCACCATTAGCCTTTCCCAGAGGTTGCAGGTCTGGGCCCTCCTGCCCTCGAACATACTCATGAGCACTCACACCACTTGTTCAACTCCAGCCTCACTTCCCAGCTGTGTGACCCTGGTAAGCCATTTAAATTCTCTCTGCCTCAGTTTTCTGCTCTGTTAAATGGAAATAACAATAGCATCCCTCTCACAGGGTTGTTGTGAAGGTCAAATGAGACACTTGCTTAATACAGGGCTTGGCACACAGCAGGCACTTAAATGTTTTCCTTCCTTCTTTTCTCCATATCTGCCCTACTATGGCAGGCCAAGGGCCACTGGGTCTTGACATCTACCCTGCAGCTAAACTCTAATCTGTGGCATCTTGCCCACCCCTCCCTCTCTCCCTTCCCTCATTAGGATATAAGCTCCATGATGGAGGAGTATCTCCCTCTTCTCTTAGTTTCATATTGCTTAGCAATACAGGGCTTTGTACATAATGAGTGCTTAATGGATGTTTTTTTGTTCAAGCATTTATTCATATATTCAGTCAGTCAACTATTCACTCACACCCTCATTTAGGGTCAATCTATTCCACTGTTCAAAGTCTGACTGAGGAATGAATTTTAAGAGCTGAGGATGCTGAAGAAATGCCTGAGCACCCGTAGACATTGTGCATTTAAACAAAACCTGTCTCTGGTCTCTAGAGCTTGGTACCGGTCTGGTACCAAGGAAGGACGGAGGATGCAGCTGAACAATCATGCAGGAGGGCAGAGGGTGATGGTGGCAGAGGACTGGGGGATCAGGGGGTCTTCACGGAAGTGAAAGCATCACTGAGGCAGAGGCTTGAAGGAATATAAACAACACCAAAAGTAGAACTAGCGACAGTTAATTCCACATCATGAAAATGAATGGCTTCTGCAAAAATCCAGACGCAGATAATGGCATGTCAGGACTGAGGAACAGCCAGTTGTCCAATGTGGCTGGAAGGTAGAGAATGCACAGGGCAATGTTATGAAATAAGGCTGGAAAAGAAGGTTGGGGCCTAGCTGTAGATGTGGCTGAATGTCAAGACTAGGGCTTTGTGTTTTATTCCAGGGGTAATAGTGAGCCACTGAAGGTTTGAGAGCAGGCATTAAAATGGGTCCCTCCTATTCATGTGTACCATAGGCTGCTGGAAGAATGACATGGAGCAGGGGAGACTGATGAGGAGCCCATGAAAATGGTGCTGGGAGAGTACAGAAAAGGAAATGGAGGGCAGAAACACTGTGTAGGGAAAACTTGTGGGCCTCAACAAGTGAGGGGCTAGGAGGGAAAGAGAGAGACAAGTCAGGGGGATTGAAAGGTAATCAAAAGAGGTGACTGAGGATGGAGGCTCGCTCAGCAAAGACAAGGATGCTTGGAGGAACCTAGGGGTTGGGGGGGGAGAGGAGGAGTTCCACCTGGCACACATGGAGTCTGAACTTCCAGTGCGCCATGCCAGTTGGAATGGTGATGCCAGTCTAACATTCAAGAGAGAGGTTAAGACCACACATAGATTTTGGAGTTACCTGCACAAAGGTGATAACGGAAGTCATGGGAAAAGAAGAGATGATCAAGGGAGAAATTACGCCTAGAGAAGAGACAAGGGCCGAGGACCCAGATGCGGGGGATGCCCACATTCCATTCTGGGCACAAGAGGCAGATACGGGAGCTGCCAAGGGACTCTGAGAGAATAATCAGGCAGGCTAGAAGAAGAGAGAGAGCCCAGCTGAAGGCCGAAGACGGTGCAAGTGGGTGAAGACTTGGCACAGGCCACCAGAATTTGGAGTTAAGCCATCAGCGGTGACCTTTTGGGGGCTCCTTGGGAGAGCCACAGGGCTGGGCTAATGAGGGACAGCAGAGAGCCCTGTAGGCTTAGGGTGTGAAAAGGCAGGACAACGGAGGCTGAGAGTGTTGAGGAATGACTGTGGACCGTGCAGTCCATGGGGTTTCCTTGGCAAAGACACTGGAGTGGTTTGTCCTTTCCTTCTCCAGTGGGTTAAGGTAAACAGAGGTGAAGTGACTTGCCCAGGGCCGCACAGCAAATCAGTGTCCGAGTCCAGATTTGAACTCAGGTCTTCCTGACTCCAGGCACAGAACTCTATCCACTGATCCATCTAGCTGCCTCTGCCTGCGTGGCCTTCCTCATATTTGGAATTGGCAAAATGATGGAGCTCTACTCTCTATGACATGGTAGTTTTTATGTAAACTTTACAGCCATAGGCCACAGTGAGTTGCTGATGTTGGGGATGTGGTAGAAGTGTGGCCTAGGGCCCAAGGGATCTCCCCTGGTAGAGAATTTTCACACCAGCGACCACCAGCAACCATCCCACAGTGATGCAATCATAGACCCAGACAAAACAAATATCATTGATAAGCACATAAATATACTTGGGAGGAGAAAGGGAAGAAGCAGATAAAACTGAACAGAGGATACCAGCATCCCAAATTAGTCTGATATTTGAAACAAAGATCCCCACCCCCCAGAGGACACTCCCTGAGGTTTAGCCCGGCTTGGAACACCAGCAGCCCCAGTGCAAGGTGCTTCTGAGCCAGGCTGGACCATAGCCACCCACGGACCAAAGCTTACGTTTTCCAAGCCAAGGAGCACCAGTAAGGGAATGGTTGTCATCCCTCCCTGAATCCACTCCTGCAGAGAGACGGTGCCATCATGGTCATAGTCGATCTCTTCCATCATTTCATGAAGTATCTGTTTAAGGAAAGAAGACCAGGAAATAGAATTTCACATTGAGAAATAGAAAAAGGGATCAACTACAGGGAAGCATCAGATGAGCAAAGAAAGCTAGGTTGAGGGAAGGCTATGACTAAGGATGTCTACGTCTCAGGAAGGTCACACCTAGGGAAGGATGCCGCTAGGAGAGGCCAGTGACTTAGAGAGAGCTACCTGAAAGAAAGGCTATGCATATAAATTCAAATGGAACTTGGGGGTCAGTCAACTCCCAGCTAATCTAGCAGCCCCCCCCAAATCATTCCATTTTGTCAGAACATTACAAAATTTGACCAAAATGACACTGGCGTATCACATTTCATGACTATGTACTCAAGACTGAACAAATCCAGCAATGATACAGTAGAAAGCTTGTTTGTTTGTTTTCATCTCAATACCCCTGTGGGCCTTAGTGATCCATCCACTCAGATTACTTTTAGGGTCCAGGGATGGGCTGAAAAGCATTAGCTCTCTCAGCTTAGTAGTAAAGAGTTGGAGAGATTCTCTCCGACTATCCACAAAGCAAGAAAACAGGGCCACTTATTCACCTATTAGATCTTAGGAGAAGAAAAGGGTGAGCTGATCAAAGGATCCATGACCCTTGTATTTAGGAAGGCGAGTTACCAGAGCGAGGTTTCATTTAAGGTCCAACAAAGGTTGTCCATACCCACTGTTTGCAAGAAATGGGTACATTTGCAAATGAAACAGAAATATTAGGAATATTCCAGGCCAGTCCTAAAACAAACAAACCCACCAAGCACATAGTACTTTGTCAACATAAATGATGTATCTTAGGGAAGGACAAGAAATTATCTTGTTACCAAAAGCCAAACAGCTTTAGAATGAAATACCCTGTTAAGTTAAAACAAACAAACAAAAGCCTCCAAAAGATGGATTAAAAAAAAAAAGAGGCAGTGAGAGACAGACAGCTACTCTCATCGCAGACCTGTGAAAATGGGGCTGGATCCCTAAACAACCCCCCCACCCCGTAACTGTAGGCTGAACTTTGTCCCTGGGACTTAATGCTAAGTTGGGCCGGTTTCCCCTTAAAGCATGAACTTGGGTCTTGGATGTGTGAGCTCAAGCATGGGGAGGTCCCCCAACATCAACACCCTTCCCCATTCCCATCACCAGCTCATCTCATTCTTATGGTCTTTGGAGGGTCACCAGGCTTGGACCAGAAGGCTTAGTGGCTTGTCCATTATCTCACAGTTGGCATGGACAGAGGAAGCAGTGGGAAACAAAGAATCAGCAAGAGCTCTCCTCTTCCCAGAGGCTATAAAACTGGAGGAATCTTTAATTATTGATGGAGTATGACAGAAGTCCTCAATGCCAGTCATCGGTTCCCTTCTCTATAAAAAGAAGGCATTCAATCCGATGGCGTCAATTGGACTCCCACGCTTTCAGACTCTTTTATTGTGGATGATGGAGTGGCAGCAGGGCACAGGGCATACGGAGATGGACAAAGACAGGAAGACTGAGTTCCAAATTCCTCCTGCCACAGGCTGGTTGTGGGCCCTGAGGGAGTCACTTCAACTCTGCATGCCCCACTCTAAGCTATGAAAGAGTTGCAGCTGTGCAGTGGTAGACAGAGTTACCTCAACTAGAGTTCCATACTTCAATATCATAATAACAACTAAAATGAATAACACTATTTATATAGCATTTTAAGGTTGGCAGACCCCTTTACATGGTTTGCTCATTGGTGCCTCACAACAGCCCTGTGAGGCACAGCTATTATTATTCACATTATACAGATGAGGAAACTGAGACCAGGAGAGTTTAGGTGACTTATCCAGGATTACACAGCTAGAAAGTGCCTGTGGCTGGATTTGAACTCAGATCTCCCTACTCCAGGTTCACCTTTGTACCATCACACATCACTAGGACCCAAGTTCCTGCTTTAGGGGGAAACACTCCTAACATCCTGAATTTTTCAAAGACATCCCATGAACAAAAATCAACATATATATTCTGGGCAATTTTAATGAACTAGTACCTCCTTCAAAGAATCCTGAGATATGGCCACATTTCTCTTCCCTGCTTTCTTTTCTGTCCACCTCTTTGGGGTTGTTGATTTAATTAGGACCACAGTTCTGACCCGGAATAAAAGTCATGATATTAGCACCAGCACCTGACATACAGTCATTTGAAGAGTTCTGGGCACTTTCACACAAATAATCCCACCTGGGGAGTCGGAAAGACACTCCATTGGGAGAACCTGGGTTTGTTCCCTGGGGCTCTGGGATTAGAGGAACTGGGTTTGAATCCCAAATCTATCTGGTTGTGACTCAGTGCAACCCTGGACAATTAACTCAGCCACCCTGGGTGGCTAACAATAAAATGAGGAGCTCAGACTAAGTGATCTTCTACCCAGAGGGTCCAAGATTTGAGGCTCACAAAAGTTCTCAGAGTTTGCCATTTCATTCCCATTTCACAGACCAGAAAACCAAGACTCAGAAACATGAAACAAGAGCACATGGTCACAATGACAGTAAGTGGGGGGAGCTGAACACTTCACTGAACATTGGGCAAATCTGCCATTTTCATTGATTAGCAGTATTTCTAAAGTCTACTTTCTACATGGGTTAAAAACCTAAGAAAACTACCAGGCACTTAGGTGCAGGAGAATGACCAATGCAACCAGAAGAGAGGTGAGAGAGCTGGGATGGCTCTGGGACCTGAGTCCAGCATTGGCTCCCAGAACAACTGGTGGGGGGTGGGGAAGTCTTGTCTGGGTCACCAGCTTCATTGGCTTCATCTGTAAAACAAAGGCTCCAGCTAGAGAAGAAATACTTGGAGGAGTTCCCGTGAGCCAAGGAGGCTTCCCCAGCTTGGGCTTGGAGAGGGGGCACAGGTGTCAACAAGAAAAGGAAAAAAACTGAGATGATAAATGACATTTCTATAGTTTAAAGGTGCTTCCTGAATGTTATCTCATCTGAGTCATGCCACAGCCCTTGTCCAAGGTTCTAGGGGCATTTACTTCTCCATTTTATAGATAAGGAAACTGAGGATCTGAGACACTGTATGACATCCCTCAGTCACAGAATTAGTATGTGTCTGAGGTGAGGTTTGAAATATGGCATTCCTGACTCCCACTCAGTCTCTTGACTGTTAATAGTGAAGCTCAGGAAGTGAGGTATGTGGCTGTCCTGGGAATCCTAGGATACCCTAAAAAGGAGGTGTGGAGGCATCAGCATGGTGCAAATGTCACCTTCAAGGTGCTAGGCTTGGTTTCAACTCTACCACCACATTTTTATCACCATCACCAGCACTAGCACCACCATCACCATCACCACCACCACCACCATCAGCAGCAGCAGCATCACCATCACCACCAACATCATCAGCAGCAGCAGCAGCATCATCATCGCCATCATCACCATCATCATCATCACCACCATCACCACCTTCACTACCATCACCACCACCACCACCACCACCAACATCTTCATCCCCTTCCATCCCCCAGGATAAGCTCATCACCAGGAAACTCATCATCGTGGGGATGGCTTCAGCTCTGGCTCTCACACCTCATCAGTGCCTTCAGTTGTCTCTGTCTCTTTGATCAGAGGCCTGGAGGGAGGAGTTTTACTCCTCCCAGAGTCTGCCTTTATTGTTAACGTTCTTTTCAGTTGTTTTTCAGTTGTGCCTAATTCTTCTTGACCTCATTTGGAGTTTTCTTTGCAAGGATACTGGAGTGGTTTGTCATTTCTTCTCCAGCTCATTTTATAGATGAGGAAACTGAGACAGAGTTAAGTGACTTGCCCAGGGTCACACAACTAATAAGATGTCTGAGGTTAGATTTGATTTATAGAGGTTTCAAAATCCCAACTATCTTTTTATTTGCCACCAGCTGTTCTGCCTGGTTTTGACTCTACCCTCATCGTCATGGCTTTGCTCATGTACTTTCTGGAAGGTAACCTTTCCCTTTTCACTTTCCTTTTGTGCGCTGTCCTCATTAGATTGTAAGCTCATTGAGGGCAGGAAACATCTTTTTCTTATTCTTATCCCCAGAACTTAGCAAAGAGCTTTGCGGTTCCACCTAGCTACCTATCCATGCATTTATTTGCAGTGGCTAGCCCGGGGTTCTCTCAGGGTAACCATTGTTAAGCTCCTGATTTCCCTCATTGGTCATTCCAGGACAAAGGCATTCTCTAGTGTCCCTTCCTGACCTAGCATTCTGTAAATTCTGTTATTCTACGTCTGGCAGTGTTGTCTAAGGGAAAACTAAGTTAAGACAACAAGCATTTATTAAGTGCCTGTTGTTTGCCAGGCACTGCATTAAATGCTTGGAGACAACTGTGTACAAATGCAACATCCACAGGACAAATTGGCGATCAGCTGAGAAGGAGGCACTAGGGACAGGAGGACCAGGCAAGGCTTCCTGCCCAAGGCAGGGGTTTAGCAGAGACTTGAAGGAAGCAGGGAAGCCAAGGGGCCGAGATGAGGGGGAGGGAGAACATTCCAGGCATGGAGGAAAGCAGACTTAAAATGGTGTCCAAGGGCCTCTTACGTCAGGACTAGGAGCCTGCTGGGACGTCCCCTTCCCTCTCTGAGGGTTGGTTTCTATTCAGAGAGAAGGGCAATGTTAGGCCCGAGGTTGCCTCCATCACAGGCCGGGTGAGAACATTAGGAGCGACCCAGAAACAAGCTTCGGTGATCTTAGCAGATGGATTGCCTGTGAGGCAAATTCAACCAAGGCAACAGCTAAGGCACTGAGAAATGATACGAATCTACTGGGGCAGAGGAAACTTTCACGGAGCTACCGATTTCAGAGCAAAAGCTGGGAGGGAGCTCCGGAGACCATCGCTGTCAGGTGTGAGTCATGGGAGGGAGCCAGGCCTCTCCCCAGGCACGGTGGGTTGTGTGCGAGCCCTGGTAGCCACATTAAAATGGAGGGCCAAGTTAAAAACCCAGGGGAACCTCAACTGAGTTATTATCATGTAGGTCCAGGTGCTGCTTCTGTTTGGGACTATGGCCTGGCTGTGCACAGACAGGCATGCACGCGCACAAGCACATACACACACATGCATGTACACGCACACACACACACTCGCACGCACACACACACGTATGTACACACGCACATGCACACACATGCATGTACACGCACATACATACACATACGCGCACACGCACACACGTGCATGTACACACGCACGCATGTGCATGCACACACATACACGCACACGCACACACACACACACTGCATCATATACCACTGTGAAACAAGCAATGGTGGCAGGTGTTCAATGAGTTGCGTCTTTGTTTTTCTAATACGGATGACCTGCCTTGGGCCAGAGGGCAGTCCCCTACCCTGGACAGCTCTCAAACAAAGCTGCCCAGAGGGCAAGCCCAGCTAACTTAGCACATACCGGACTGAGCTCTGTGACGTCCCACTCGAGATACTCCGCCACGTGCATCATCTGACTGATGATGTTTTCCAGCTCCTGGATGGGACAAAACAAAGACATGATAATGGCCTCTTGGTGCCAACCCCTCCACCCCCAATAATCCAAAATGTTAAACACCTTGATCCTGCTTAGCCAGGTAGACATGTTATACCAGGAATGTTAAAGACCTTTTAAATAATGCATTTAATAGTAATCTCTCCAATCCCCTAGGAAGAAGAGACCCGGAAGAAGGATTTAGCTCTTGGCACAGCATTCACACCAAGAAAGCACGCAGTCCCCAAAGAGGAGCCCTCTCCGGTGCCAAAGGAATGTCTGCGCTCTAGGCCCACCCTAAGCTCCTCCACCACATGAGAATTTCTACTTCCCATCTGGCTTTGACATGCAGGTGTCAGATTGAGAGAGGAAGGGAATGTTTCAAGGACACTGAGCCAGGCTCAATTTTGGTGGGACACTTCAAAAAAGTGTGCTGGGCGTTCTTATTGGCGACAGGATAATTTGGATGTGCGCATGACTGATTGTAGACTGAGATTCAGCAAGTACTAGGGTTCATCTTACGACTTCAACTTTAGCCAATCCCTTGAACGCAAATGCTTTGAAAGCAAAATCTGGCCAGGAGAGGTCGGGTGATTGTCCAGGGCCTCGTGGTCCCTATGGATCGGAGACAGGATTGGAGCCCGTGTCTCCTTGACTCCAAGGCTGGCCCTCTACTCCCTATTTCAGGCTGCTCCTACTGCGCTAAAGATTGCAGAAGTTTTTATAACCCTGAGGCTGAAAAATCATTAGGAAAGTTATGATGGAAAAGTCCTGAATATATCTTCTTTACTAATTTTAATTGATAACTTCTATTTTTACATGATCGAGATTTGCCCCTATTTCTCTGTCTCTTTTCTGGAAAAGTCATTCTTTATAAGAAAGATTTTTTTAAAGTAAAAACTAATATTTGAATTTATTTTTAATGAACTTAAAATTCTTACACAGTCACTCAGCAGTAGAATAAATTCCTCCTAACAGTGGGTTGCATCACTGCGGTAAAAAAGCACCATTTTCATTTTTTTTTTTTAGCCTATGTAGAGTTATCAACATCTCTCTGTAAAACACAGAAGAGCATGGTGATGGTGGCCAGGCCCAGTCTGAGGGCCTGAGGGTGCTCCTCAGGTATTTTTTAAGGTCTGTTCTTTTTATATTTGTTCAATTATATGTTTCTCTGGTTTTGACCTGATTGGTGACGTCCATATTGTAGAAAATTTCCATTGTACAAGCTTCCTTCCTTTATAGGAGCTGGAAACTTTGCTTCAACTGAGAGCTTCTGAGTTGCTTTAGTTAAATGACTTGCCCAGGGCGGGGACACAAAACCGCCTTGTGAATGAGTGGGTGCATCCACAAGTGGCAGGCTGCCGCACAACCTGGGGGATTCAGCCTGGCTGGAATTCTTCAAGCCAAGGTGGAATGCCTAGCCCCCATGTTACATGGAGACAGATGCTTTTTCAGGTAGCTAGTCTGGATGGCCAGTGAAGTCTAGCTGGGAGACTTTAGATTCTTTGAAATACAGGGAGGAAGGGGGGCACTTGAAAGCAAAAACCAGTCTGTTATGATTCAGCACTTTGGATTGAAGAAAGTCATTTATAATGTTGTTTATCTGCACAATTTCCCAAACTCTGTCTTAGAATTTGACTGCAACTATTGCTAATAGTTTATTTGTTAGCTTCTTTGTTTTTTGAATACCCAAAAATATTAGACTGAGTTTCCTTGTTGTGGTTTCTCTGTGGACCAAAATTCCAATAAATGTGAATTTAAAAAAAAAAAGGGACAGGAGATGGACCTGTGAATGCACTGGTATAGAGAACTCTCACGTGAGGACACTCTCTCTTCCAGAGCAGGTGGCACCTCCCCGATACCCTATATAGTCTTAGAGAGATGCTTAGGGCACTGAGAGGTTATGTGTCAGCCCAGGGTCACAAAGACTCCCACAAAATAAACACCAAGCAAGCTGTATTAGAGACACAATCTGTAAAGTGAGCATTGTGACCATTGCAGTGATCAGAGCTTGAGCAGCTCCTGAGTGCAGGGCACTATTGGTGGTCACTGGAGAGACCCTGCATTTCAGGATTCCAATAAGATATGGTTCATGGTAGGGCAATAAAGCCCTGGCCCTGGGAGCCTCAGGCCCAGTGCCCCAGGGTTAGCGTGCAAGACAAGTGCACAAAGTCACTATGCAGGAGCCCGTGAGAATTCACAAACTTCAAAGCCCAGCAAGGAATTCACTCAAGGCCTGGAGAGGCAGGGGCATTGGAAACACCCTTAGGGGATACTTTCAAAAAAACAAAGCCCTTGGTCCCCATCCTGCCAGGATCACATCCCCTCCCGAAGCCTCTGTTTCTCATCTGTAGAATGAGGGGGGTGGGTGAAGTGATCTCCAGAGACCTCCAGAGTTGTGAAGTCAATGATCCCCCTTCCCAAATGGAACAACAAACAAAGACGTCCAGGCACCTCTAGAGAGATGGCCACTGGAAAAATCTCTGTTACTTAACATCAAAAAATTCCACAATTACAATCAATTCATAATTGTGGTCATTTCCCTGAGCCAAAAGTCTTCTCTTTCCTTTTATTAATGGCTTTGATCTCTCTCCAGAATCATTAATGTGCCATTAGCCTCCTCCTTCCTTACCAACAACGTCTCCCACTTCATTTCATGGCTTGTAGAAGTCCATCTGCACTCTTTCGAGGGGACTGACGTGCAGGGACGGGGCCAACCCATGCGTGGGGATGCTTTGTTGAATTGATGTTCCATTGATCAAAATGTCGATTTTTTTAAAGTGGACTTTCACATTCCAAACTTTTCATAATCCTACACTTAATATTTCATTAGCGTTTTAGTCTTTCATGAGATTAGGTGGCATAGAATTTTAAGGTCTTAGGAAAGATAAAGTTAGATCACAGTTATAAACTTCCAAATTGAGTTGGAGTTTCTTCAAACTCCAGAGGCAATTTTGGCACAATTCTAATAAAATGATCCTTTTTAACAGATTTGGAGGTGAGATCACCTGAAGGAGTATGTCTCTTCTACTTATAATATCTTATTTGCCTCTTAAGTAACTGGGGCTTACAAAATATAGACCTGGAGCCTACTACTCCCATGGAATAGGGCCTGGTCTAAAAAATGGATACATTCATCTAGTATTCCCCCCAAAAATACATAATTGGGAGCCCAGAAAATACTTGGAATAAGAAGATTTGAGTTCGAATCCTGCCTCAGATACTTACTAGCAGAGTGACCTTGGGACAATTCCTTAACCACCCTGGCTTTCCTCATCTGGTAAATGATGGAGTTGGAACCAATGATTTCCAAGGCCTCTACCAGCTGTAAACCTACATTCCTATGATGCTTTGAGCAGCTTCACTCCCTAGACTAGTTATTTCCTAAAATTGAGGAGTGTGCTTTTTTGCTCTTCTTCCCAAACTAATGTTATGTTCCTTGTGTTGTATAATTGATGATTCCCTCCCCATCAGTCCCCTCCCTCTGTTGGGCTCTGATTTGTAAAATATTATGGTTTCATATCACAGTGTTCCCATAAATAACCCAGTTCCAACAGCTGCTTTCTTGGATCTCTGACCCAAGAAGCACAAGCTTACATGGAAATTAGGAGAAGCACATTACCATCCTCTTCAGAAAGAAATATTTTGAAGTTATCAAGGAAAATTTATAGGAAAACAAAATGCAATCACCGAACTGTCCAGGAAACCATTGCCATCCGTGTCATAGAGGCGGAACATGACTGAAAGAAAAAAAAAGCGAGAAATTAGGAAAGAATAGGAGCATCCCCAGAGGCCAACTCTGATTTAGCTCCAGGTAATGCTATCTGCACATCCAGCCCAGTGAACGCGCCTCTCACTGGCCAAGGAACAGCCAATGGCAATTGTCATCTATCGGGGTGATTAAAGAAGCCACCAAGCTGTTTGACATATTCAGCATCAACCTATTGAGGAGTCCTGGGGGTGCTGAACTCGTGGGGATCATTAAAAAGTGAAAAACTGAAACCAAAGGACAACAGAAAGAGGACACTGCCCTCTCTGCTCAGGGAAGCAGCTGGACTTGGACAAAAAGAAAGGCGATCCAATTTATTTGGCATCCATCATTCACTAGCCATGAGGAAACACAATTGATTCTCTCAGACTATGAGTTTGCTCGTGGGCAAGACGAGGATGAGGACCGGCTGGTCTCTATCAGAGCCCCGTGGGGACGGACACATCCCAAGAGGAAGAATCTAGACTTTTTGGGGACTTCTGTACCCACACCCCAGTGTTTGCCATAGTGTCTGGGGCACAGTACACACTTTCCAAATGTTTATTGATTGGTAATCTATGGAGTTCTTTCAGAATTCGAGGGGCAGAGATTGGGCCCATGATTGTATGGTTTGTGGTGAAAAAACTCCCTCTACCGATACACGTCAGCATCTCCTCTACAATTCATAGTCTCAGGACGAGAACACAGAGAAATTCTTGCCCAGGGTCACCCAGCCAGGATGAGTCAAAGGTGGATCTTCCCGGCTTCCAGAAAACATCTCTCTTCACTCACAACTCACTCTTTCTTGGTGGCCCAGGATAAAGAACATGGAAGTGGGAATCAGAAATCCTGGCCTCAGACACTTATTACCTCTCTGTCTCTGAGCAAGTGACTTGCCCCCTTTGGCATCAGTTTCCTCACCCATAAAATGGGGATACTAATTGAAAGAGGTAAGGTGGAAAGGGCTAAGGGGAATCAAAGAAGAGCCCCTCCTTACGTATTTCAATCATTGCATAAGGTTGTAGTTGGAAGGTTTGAATGGATAACAAGTCCCTTTCTTAACCAATTGTCAGGGAAGCTCTGACATCAGCTTCTGGGCCCAAGCATCCTGGACTGCATTTGGTTTTATTTTTACAGCTAAGTTAGCCACACCTTTGTTTATTGACAAGACACCCCCCACCCAATGATTCAAGTAAAACCCCCCCAAAGGCATGTATTTAGTTCTATCAAGTCTGTCATTTTGGATAAAATATGATCCAAATTTGCTTCAATTAAATCAGTATGACCAACTATTTGCCATTACAGAAATTACATGCTGCTGTTAAAACGAAAATTGTGAGTCCATTAAACATCCTCCCACGAGCTCATTATTAGACTCAGCAAACATTTTCTACGTAGAACTGCAACGATTCACTGATGGGGCCAGTCACTTCATGGCTAAGAAGTCCTGAAGCCTTACTCCTTGTCTAATAATGACGGTGCCCTGGCTGGAGTGGGCACTGAAGCCAACTTCACCGAGAGTCAGACCTGAGACTTGCAGTGTTTTATGATAAGCTGTGACTGTGGGGAGATTTATTTTAGCAGAATAAATAGGAGGATGGGTAGACAGACAGATCAACTGACAGGCAGACTTAGCAATAAAGACAGACAGACAGACATCTATCAAAAACAGATATAAGAAGATTTAACTAATCTTGGCCCAGTTATACAAATATATACATAATTATAGATATTTGTTCAATATAGAAACAACTTGGGTCTCCTAGTACATTTATTCACATGGGCACAAAGGATATTATTCATTTTTGTTATATCTTCTCCCATACCCATGTATGGCATTCTCTACACATTGTTATTGATACTGAGAAAGGCAATTCAACCGAGTGGCTACTCAGGGGGATCTGGGTTTGAATTCTGCCTCTGATACACGGTCTGTGTGACCCTAGACAAACCACCTCACTTCTCAGTGGTGCAAGTAACCCTAACTCTAAAGACTAGAACTTATGGAGAATATGCCAAATTAAAGCACCGGTCTGGAATAACATCCCCAAAGCAACATCACCTTTCCAATGGTAGCTGTAGAGAAGCCACTGCCTACTAGAGAATGCTGGCAAATGCCCACCACATACAATGGAAAAATACTATATTTTGAGAATTTTAAGATTCAGGTTTTTTATTCATTGAAACTGGGATTTCCAGTATGAAATAATGATTGGCTCCACAGCACTGTTTACTTCAAGAGTTACACCAGTGATGGTTTCAGTGAGTGCTCAGGGGATGAGATTCCACCTCAATACTGCTGGAATGCTAAGCGAGAAAAACTGTTTATAAACACAGGTACAAAATGGAGTTCATCTGATTTCTTTAATATTCCATATGGTGTCCGGGTGGATCCCTTCAGCCTTTCCTCCATCCCCCCTGTTATTGCTGCTCTTCAGAAGTTTCACTCATGTCTGACTCTTCATGACTCCATTTGGGCTTTTCTTGGCAAAGATACTGGAGGGCTTTGTCATTTCCTTCTGTAGCTCATTTTACAGATGAGGAAACTGAAGCAAACCAGGTTATGTGACTTGCCCAGGGTCACATAGCTAGTAAGTGTCTGAGGCCAAGGTCTTCCTGCCTCCAGGCCTGGTGCTCTGTCCACTTCACTCCCTAGCTTTGTATATAAACATATACATATAGACAGAGCATATCCCCATATAAAAGGTAACACCCCAAATAATTTTGATTGTGCACATAAGCACAAAGCAATATGTATAAAGCACATATCTATAAGGATGATGTATGCAAATATTTGCATATAGACAGATAGTTAAACCGGCAGGTAGACATACATCAGTCACATAAAGAGGTGAGATACATCCCTATGGAGCCAAAAGCCCCAGCTGTCTACCTTGGGCACATCACTGAATCACTCGGAGGCCAGCTTTGTCATCTATAAAATAGGGGTGGGGAGAGGCAAACGTATTCTCCAAGGACTATTGTGAAGAAAGCCTTTTGGAAAGTTTCAAAACCCTCTGGCAGTATGAGCTGCGGTCACCTCCATGAGTATGATCTCTTTCTTTTACATCTGGGTATGGGGAAAAACAGTCTTGGGACAAGTTGTCTCCCATCTTAATTCTTTTCCATTTCATGTTCTTAAGTCTCTTGCATAGAGGAATGAGATAACTGCTTCTTGTAGGTGTGCACAAATCCTTGGACTGCAAGCTCATTTTGCTGAGCAGGACTCACTGAAAGCAGCCTTTGAAGAGCTCCAGGTGCAAACAGAGACACCATAGGGATGGCATATGGTTCATCTTGCTCTCACATGTTCAATCTTTTGGGACCTGGATTCTTCATAGAGCACATTAGTCATCCCTCTCAGTTTTCTGTTCTATTTTGAAAGCATATCATCCATTCCTTCATCCAAGTCTTTCTTATAGATATTGAAATAAGAGTCGTGGATGGAGGGCTGTGATCCACCAGTGCCCTCTTAGATCATTAAGAACTCTTCTCTTCCCTAGATCTGACGGTCTTCAGTGATCCCTAGTAGACATACCATGTTTGTTTTGGGACCAGGAGAATATTTTCAGGTGCTGATATAGTGAAGGTTTCTCATCTTCCCCACCCCTTCATGTCTGCTTTTTCTTTCATGTAGTATGGTGGGTGGTGAGGAGGTACTTACTCTCATAGCCATCAGGAGATATGGATTATGGTCTTAGCTCTAGCATTAACTAGCTGGGCAATCTTGGACAAGTCCCATAATTTCACTCAATTGCAAAAAGCAATGGCTAGATGAGACAATCTTCTTCTGCTTTGCCCTGGTACCAACCTTGGTGCAGTGGGCAGACATAGATGCTGTGTCTAGTTTCCTCTCTTCCTTTCTTTGGAACTAGTTGCTTTGGACTCTATCCCTCAGTCTTTTAATGAGGAGGAGAATGGTATCTCACCCCTTCTCTCCTGGCCCCCCACTAAGGAGGCTGATCTCACAGAGCAGAGAGCTGTGAACACAAGTGTTGGGCAACATCAGCCCCAGACCAGCTTCCACAACTTTAAATTTCTTTTTCTGAGCATGGGTGACCCTACAGTGATCTGAGACGTACATTCCCAGCTTTGGCAGAAACCTTATGATTTAAGAGGCTGCGAACTCCCTGGTCTGCTGCTGGTTGCCCAGTAGGAGATGACCTGCATGACAACTTCTTGGGGGAAAAGATGCCAATGCCATTACAATGAGCTAAGTACACTGTCTGGCCGGAAGCCAGGGACCTTGAGTGCATGCTCAGACCGTATGCATAAGATGTCAAGATGAAATCTCCAATAAGTGGTGAACAAATTGTTTCATACACCCCAATTCACAAATTGTTAATGTTTTAAGTATTGACCCCATGTTCAAGGATAAGACAAAGGATGAGTTATTGTTTCATGGCTTAAGCATTTGTCAGTGTGTGCTTGTGAGTCTTTGTATATAAATGTTTCTTGGGGGATGAAAAGGAGGAAGAGTAGGAAGAGACAGAGGAGGAGGATGGTAATGATGAAGAAGAGAAGGAGGAAAAGGAGGAGGAGGAGGAAGAAGAGGAGGAGGAAGTGGAGAAGGAAGAAGAGTCTACCTTGACTGATTCTAAGCTCCACAGAGAGGCTTGAGCAGAATGACGTATAAAGCCAGACCAGTCAAACCAGAACATTCCATATATTGAAAACAACTTGAAGAAACAAGGTCTAAGTGGAGTAGCTGAACTTCAGAGAGACTTGAAAATAGACACCAAACACAGAGATCTTTCCCTTGATGTGTCTGCTAAGTTTTGTGTCTCTGCTTTGTTGCGTGTGAAAGGTTGAGATAAGAATGCTCTTGGGGGATGTTAAGAGATGAAGAGTTGTACAGTAGCTGGTGTGTTCAATCTGGAGACAGGAAGATGTGGTTTCAGATCTTACTCCTAAAAATTATTACTTGTGTGGCTTAAAACAAGTCGTTAATCCTCCCTTAGCCTCAGTTACCTCATCTGTGAAATAGGGATAATTTTAGTCCCTACACCACAAGGTTGTAAGAACCCAATGATCAAGGTTCCTAGCATATCCTTTGTAAAGAGTAGACCTTCAAAACTTGCTTGTTGAATGAACAAATGGATTAATGGATAAAATTAATCCCTAGGCAAGAAAAATGCAACCACAAAATGTATTTAAAAAAAAAGCTTTCCTTAATAATTGGGCTGTCACCATTATGTGAGGGCAATCATTATTACACTAAGTGATGAGATTAAAGTAGTCATTTAAAACCTAATGAAAATCTCCATGGGAGGTAAAGGAAGTAGGAGAAGTTGTTTAAAAAAAAGATTTTAAATACAGAGATGGTTTAAAGAGGGAATAAAAAAATATCTTAAGGGATAGAAAAGCTAGCAGTACATGGCACAGAGCCAGGAGTCTCAAACCTGATTCTCAGGACCCCTTTACACTCTTCAATATCACTGAGAAGCCCAAGCTACTTTATTAGTATATCTTTTACATATTTTCACCATATTAGACATTTTTAAACATCTTAGTACTAATACAAAAATAGTTTTGACTCCAGGGACTCCCTGAAAGGGGGGATCTGATCCCCTCAGGAGTCCCCAGGTCACATTTTGAAAACTACTGAGGAAAGTACTTGGGGGAATGACACTGAGCCAAGAAACAGTAGGAGGACAGGTAGGCAGAAAGTGTTCTTGTGATGGAGAGAGGAGAAGTGAGGGGATTAGAGAAACAAGTGAAGGCAAGAATACTGCTGAGTCCCCGGGGATTCAGAAGTACAAGATCATTGGAAACACCATGTTGGAAAATGAAGCGTCAGCTGGCCAGAGGGCCAGCTATAGGCTTGAAGGGAAGGAAAAAGCAGGATGACCGGATTTAAAAGGAGAAGGGCCAGAGTGGCCAGACAGACCAAATCTTTTCCTTTTAAACAAATGAACCAGAAGCCCACAGACGTGAAAATACCTGCCTGAGCTCACCCGGCTAGCGAGGGGGCCACGGCCTGAATCAGATTGACCAGCCCTCTGTCCCACAGAAAGAAGATCAGAGAACCAAGGTTTGTAAACTGAAAGAAAATGAGTTTCTGCTGAAATGCATTACTTTGGAGGATTTACTGTCTTCAGCCCAAAACATGTGCTTAGATGGTCCAATACACACACACACACACACACTCACCAGGTATTCGAGGAAAAGAGGAAGATAGTCCAGCTATGTGGCCCTTACTTGGCTAAAATGACGAATGAAAATTCCTCAATACATCATGCAGCTCCTGGCTGCCCCGACTGAGCTCTCAGGGAGAGCCGCTATCCTCCTGGTGGGCGGACTCCTCACAGAGGATTGCTGAGAGGATGGGAAGAAGAGAAGAGACCTCCCTTCCTGGGATGAGAAGGTGAGGATGAGGTGGAATTGTTTGTGTTTCTATAGGAATCATCCATCGGGTGGCAAACCCTTTTCCACCTTCACCAAAACAGCAAACCTGTTACGGGCCTGCCAGGAGCTAGAGATACAAAATAAAGTGGTCGCTTCACCCAGGGAGCTCCCACCAGACTAGGACCCTGCAAGACCCTTCAATTCCCTCTGAATGGCTGCAGAGAGAGGGCGCTGAGGTCACTGGACCCTGGGACAAAGCCCACTTGCTCCCACTTTACTGGCAGGGCATCAGGGGCATCGCAGCGATGTCGGGGAGTCACTGCGAGTAGCAGAGAAGATGTCAGTGACCCACCAAGACACAAAGCAAGTTCTGAGTCCGCGAGCCAAGGGCTCCCTTAATGACTCCCCAAACACAGGGATTTTCCAAACAAAGATGTACCAAGCACATACTGCATTGCAATGACTCGCTTTCTCCACCAGAGGGAGACCCTTCACTGCAGTTGACATCAAGATTATCCAGCCCTCTTGACTACCTTCTGTAAATGCTGGATAATCTGATTCAGTACATCAGGGCAGGCTCCACGCAGAATTGTCGCCCCAGTGTCTGGATCTTAGGGCTGCAAATAAAGCCATCACCTGTCCCTCGCTGGCCTGCTGAGCTGCCGCTTATGCCTGGCACGCACAGGTGTTGGCGTGCAAAGCTAGCTAGCTCACATTCTCAGGGAGAGGGAGAGGGGATCATGACACAGGATGGACAGCGCTCCTCGGGGTGGAAACTGCCTGTCAATGGTGAGAAGAACTCCTCGCGCACCAGAAGCTGCCAGGCTTCAAGCGCCCACCCTGGAGGATCACCCCCAGCCTGGCCGCCTCCAAAGGAAGGCTGACTTTGTGCAGGCAGGATAGTATACATCTAGACTCCCAGTGACCACAGGCCTTCTCCCCATCTGTCAGGGACATCTGGTCGATGGATCCACGAACAGCACCGACCCTTCAGAGGACTGAAATTAGTCCAACTGCCACCAGAAGGGGAGTTTCTGCTCCAGGAGTGGGGTCAGTGCCACACCCTCATTGAGGGTAACCATCAGCAGGCTTTGTGGATTTCAAAATAGACAATGATAAGTGCGTCCTTGCCCACCACCTTCTTGTCATCAGGTCCCTAGTCCCAGAGCTATAACTATTCTGATGCTCAAGAACAGCTGCAATTGTTGGTGAAATTATGAACAGATTCATCCATTCTGGAGAGCAATTTGGAACCGCACTCAAAGGACTATAAAACTGCATACCCTTGATCCAGTAATAGCACTTCTAGGGCTGTATCCCAAAGGGAAAAGGACCCACATGTACAAAAATATTTACAGCAGCTCTTTCTGTGGTGGCAAAGAATTGGAAATTGAGGGGATGCCCATCAATTGGGGAATGGCTGAGCAAATTGTGGCATATGAATGTGATGGAATACTATTGTGCTATAAGACATGATGAGCAGGCAGACTTCAGAAAAACCTGGAAAGACTTGCATGGACTGATGCTGAGTGAAGTGAACAGAACCAGGAGAACGTTGTACACAGTAACAGCCACGTTGTGTGATGACTAACATTGATAGACTTAGCCGTTCTCAGCAATACACTGATCCAAGATAATCATAAAGGACTCATTGTGGAAAACACTATCCACATCCAGAGAAAGAACTATGGACTCTGAATGCAGATTGAGCAGACTATTTGCTCTTTTTTTTTTCTTTCTCATAGTTTTTTTCCTTTTTGTTCTGGTTCTTCTTTCACAACATGACTCATATGGAAATATGTTTAATATGATTGTGCATATATAGCTTATATCAGCTTGCTTGCCGTCTTGGGGAGGGGGGAGAGGAAGAAGGGAGAAAAAATTTGGAACTCAAAACCTTACAGAAGTGAATGTTGAAGAAAAAAAAAGAACAGCTCTAAGAAACATGCCTGTGGCCTAAGGCACCCTGGGTTTCCAGGGCAAGTGAAGAGATGAGGCTGAACAAGTGAGTCCTCTGGCCATGTATGTCCCTGAGGAAGGAGATACACCTGGATATCACAACAGTGGTGTGGAGACAAGGTCCTTGTGACACCAGACAATGGTTTAGGACACCATAAGGTCACTGCTAACGAGCATCCCAATGGGAAGGTTTGTGGAGCTGATCAAACAGCGGTGCAAGTGAGCAACGCTCCTGGTCTCTGTTTGAATTATCCCTGCTAACAAGGCGCTAATCTGGGGAGGGGGCAGTGGTTTGCTTTGGTTTTACCATCTGAAGGAGTACAAGTGTTCCAGCACCCCCTAAATCCATGCGCCCTTCCCTAGAGCTCCGATGGATCCACCCTAGTTTTGTCACCAATCCCATCTCATCATATGTAAGGCAAATAAATGGGCAACTCACACTCTAGTTTGTCTTCAGGTCTCCCTCGTTCCAGCAAGGACAAGTAGCAGACAATATCTTTCAGCTGGATGACTTGTGGTATGTGCAAACTGGCTGGAGAAGTGTGGGGGGGAGTCACAGCACCTTTAGTCATCCGCAAACCTGCAAAGAAATGATTACATTTTGAATATGTATTTTTTTTTCTGTATACAATGCTTACAGATGCAGAATTAAGAGTACTGTCCATTGCCTCGTCTGTGCCAAGGTCTCACTAATGGTTCAGAGAGCCTGGAGTATAGGCAATCAGAAAGCAAACAGAGGAGCTCCCAAATTTGAAGAGTGACCACAAGAGCCAGGCCAGGAAAATCTGCACTGAACATAATGCTCTAAATCATAGCTAATAAGGAAATAGGGAACCAACACGAACCTAGCTCAAGTTATTCTGAGAAAGAGCTGGCCATGCTTTGCAATTTTAAAAGAGTTTTCTTTTCTGTTTTTAGATTAAAACTATGAAAATTACTAGCAGACCAATGATACTATAACAGTATTTGGAAGAAAAAAAAAAGCTGCTTCTGAGTAATGGACACATTATCCCACAGGACCTGACAGAAGGTATTTAAAAACAAAAATGAAAACATTGCAGGACCTGCACCCAAAAGGATGTGTGAAGGTCACTGTCACATTAGGAATCATGAGAAGAAAGGTCTTCAAACACCACCAAAGCAAATGCAATTTGAGGGAGTGATTGGGGATCTGCAGAAAGACACTAGAAGAATCTAGTTGGAAACACACAACAGAAAGATTTAATTCAATATTGCCCAATTAAAGGTAACAACATAAAAAACCTAATTCAGAAAACAAAGTCACATCAGAAATTCTTGATATGTTTAATCACCCAGTGAAAGCAAAAGCCAAATGATGTGGTGAGACAAAGATTGAACCATGGCAAAGAAGGAAAGAAATGATTCAATACTAATCAAATATTTTCCTGCATGGTCTTGGGGAAAAAAATAAAAAAGAGGAGAGAAAGAACTCCTGAAGAAAGACATGGAATATTTCTAATTGTCTGTACAAGGAATTCTACACAATAGGATCAAATGAGAAAAAAAAGAAAGGTTCTGCGATGTTAACAAACAGAACAACAAAACAGTGATGTCAAGGGAGGAGAACAACTGAAAAATGGTTGAAGTCAGTTGAGATCTACAATTATTGGCTGAAACACTTTCCAGGGGCACATGGATGACTAGCAAAGCATTTTAACAGATTCCTTTCTGTTGTAAGCCTGAATTTGTCTTTCTTTTTTTAAATAGCATTTTATTTTTTTCCCTCAATTACATGCCAAGACAATTTTTAGCATTCATTTTTACAAGATTTTGAGTTCCAAATTTTTCTCCCTCCCTCTTCTCCCCTTTCCTTAAAATGGTAAGCAATTTGATATAGGTTATACATGTGCTATCATGTAGTACATAATTTCATATTAATCACAATTGTAAAAGACAAAAAAGATCAAAGGAAAAAATGAAAAAGAATAAATGAAAAAAGTATGCTTCAATTTGCATTCAAAGTCCATCAGTTCTTTAAATGGATAGCAATAGCATTTTCCCTTATGAGTCCTTTGTACTTATCTTGAATCACTGTGTTGCTTAGAAGAACTGAGTCATTCGTAGCTAATTATCACACAATGTTGCTGATACTGTGTACAATGTTTTCCTGTTTCTGCTCATTTCACTTTGCATCAGTTCTTACCGACCATTTTTCCCCCTGAAATCTTCCTGTTCATAGTTTCTTATTGCACAACAGTATTTCATTACATTTTCATTACATTCATATACCACAACTTGTTCAGCCATTCCCCCATTGATGGGCATCTTCTCAATTTATGATATTTTTCCACCAAAAAAGGGCTGATATACATATTTGCTAATGTGGGTTTTTTTTCCCTTTTTTATGCTCTCTTTGGGATATAGACCTAGTAGTGGTATTGCAGGATCAAAGAGTATGCACAGCTTTGTAGCCCTTTGGGCATAGTTCCAAATTGCTCTCCAGAATGGTTGAATCAGTTCACAACTCCACCAGCAGTGCATTAGTGTCCCAATTTTCCCACATTTTCTCCAACATTTATCATTTCCCTTTTCTGTCATATTAGCCAATCTGACAGGTGTGAGGTGGTAACTTTGAGTTTTTTAAATTTGCATTTCTTTAATCAAAAGTGATCTACAGCACTTCTTCATATGCCTGTAGATAGCTTCATTTTCTTCATCAGAAAACTGTCTACTCATATCCTTTGACCAATTATCAATTGGGGAATGACTTGTTTTCTTATAAATTCAGTTCTCTATATATTTAAGAAATGAGGCCATTATCAGACACACATACTGTAAAGATTGTTTACCAGCTTTCAATTTTCCTTCTAATCTTGCTTGCATCAGTTTTGTTTGTACAAAAAACTTTTTAATTTAACATAATCAAAATTATCTATTTTACATTTTGTAATGCTCTCTATCTCTTGTTTGGTCATGAACCTGTAACTCACTTAACTCTTCCTTTAAGAATTTGGATGCTATATCACTTAGTGTGTAATAATTGATATTACTTCATTGTCTATGGTACCTTTAGCAAGATGTAGTAAGTTGCTTCCTTATCTTTTAATTAGGTCTATTTTTGTTTTTGCTTTATCCAAGAACAGGATTGGTACCCCTGCTTTTATTTTCTTACTTCAGCTTAAGCATAATAGATTCTGCTCTGGCCCCTTACCTTTACACTATATGTGTCTCTTTGCTTCAAGTGTGTTTCTTGCGAACGACATATTGGAGGATTCTGGTTTTTGATCCATTCTGCTATCTATTTCCGTTTTATGGGAGAATCATCTGCATATTACTAATGGTTGAATCCATGAGAGCTAATGAGATCACCAAGTGAAAGGGTAGAGAGTAAGAAGAGAAGAGGATCCAGAACAGAGACTAGGTAGACCACCAGTGTTAATGGGCATGTCCTGGATGGAGACGCAGCAAACAAGACTGAGAAAGAGTAGCCAGAAAGGTAAGAGGGGAACCAAAAGAGAGAGATGTCCATGAAAACCTAGAGGAATACCTGAATGACCTTGTTGATACTTCAAAGAGAAGAGGGTGATCGATGGGGTCAAAAACTGCAGAGGGGCCATTAGATTTGGTAAGTACAGACAGAGCAATTTCAGTTGAAAGATGAGATTAGAAGTCAGACTGCAGAGTTGAGAACTGAGCAAGAGGACAGTAATTTCAAATAACTGAGAAGCTGAAAAGGAGGTTTTGCTACATTCCTATTTGTTTATAGAGTCTAGAAATTACAGAAAGTGAGAGTGGGGTGGGAATGAGGATAAGAGTGAAGGCAGATGGGACTTCCTAGAGTATTGACCCTGAGTGAGTCACTTAATCCACATGAGCCTCAGGCAAATCTCTAGGATAATAAGAGGTAGCTGGCTAGGTGTGCTGGTAGAATGAGTCCCCACCTAATAAAACCACAGATCCTGGATGTGTTGATAGTAATAACTCTATAAACGTGTGGAAATATGTATGTGTGTATGTATAAGCATATGAAGACTCAATCCCAGAGATCTGGGATTTCATTAGTGTATGCTGGCTAATCCTGAGGCATGTCGCAATCCCTCTGGCCCCAGGTCTTTGTCAAGAAACTCATTCCTTGATGGGCAGCCCTTACACATCAAGAATCATCTAGACTTAGCCTGGCTGGTCCCTAGACATGAACAAGCACTCCCTAAGAAGTCAGGAGTGAGAGGAAAACCTGTGCTGAAAGCTTGCCACCTTGGTAAGAGCCACCAGCACCCTTCCCTGACTTTGACAATCCAAGACCCCTCCGTGCCTTGATAAAGTCATGGAGCAGGGCTGCTGTGGGGCAAAGGTTCATGAGCTCACATGTGCACAGAGATGATGGATGCAATAGGAAGAATGTGGATGAGCCATAAATATCCGGGACTATTGGCTTGGCCTCATCAGCCACATCATGGCAAACACTTCATAACACTCTTCTAAAGTAGCTTCAAAATGTTTCTCATTGTTAAATTCCTGACAAAGTAACTGAGCACTCTATTCTCATTGTTCTCAATGGGCTTCAGCAATTCTAGCTAAGCCTTCTTCTGAATGGATTTTAAAATGTTTAGAGAGACGCATTGAAAGTTGATGAACGAAAATCCACTAGAATAACATAATGACAAACTGAGAAGAGGAGGAATGTGGGGGAAAAAGTCATCAGACATTACAAGAGTGTGAGAAAAACAAAGTCCCCAAAGCCACATATTTAACACCTAGTCACCAAAAAGGAGGGGCTCAGTTGACATTCCCGCGCCCTTCCTTAAATTGGTCAAAGTTCTTAGAAAGGATGCTCCGATGAGGATGCATTTTTTTGCTTCAGAAAAGGTTCAAGGTTGAGCCATTGTCTTCAGTCTAGTGAAATGTTTGCTCCAGCTATGGTTCCCTCTCCAAGCATTCTTTAAGATCACTCATATACATCATATATTAAGCCCTGCTCCAAATATTCTTTGATCTAGCAACAATGGGCTCCCGGCTGCTCCTCAACCACCATGCTCCAGCTCCTGACTCTGGGCATTTTCACTGGTGTCCCTCATGACTAGAATACTTATTCCTCTCTTCTCTGCCCTCTGGCTTCATTCAAGTTCCAGCTAAAATCCCTCCTTCTGCAAGACACCTTTCCCACCCCACCCCCTTCATCTTGGTGCCTTCTGTCTGTGACTATACCCAGTTTATCCCCTCTCTGTCTTAGTTTGCACATGGTCTCCTCCATTAGACTAGGGGCTCCCTGAGAGCAGGGACTGGTTTTGGCCTTTCTATGTATCTCCAGTGCTTAGCCCGGCACTAGGCACATATTGAACACTTAATAATTGCTTGCTGAGTGGACTTATTGACCTGGCAGAAAAACTTGGTGTTGATGAAGAGCAGAGAGTCCAAGAACCTATATCCATAGGGGATAGCAGTCTTGAGGGTGAACAGTTCAGGAAAGAGGAGGTGAAGCTGTTTCAGGTGAGAGGTGGTATGGGTCAGAATTACAGTGTTACCTCTTAGAGTGGACATAAGGGGACTGAGGCAAGAGGTGCCCTCAAAAGGCAGTGATGTGGAAGAGGCCTCCCATTTGTCCTTCTTCACCCAGAAGTC